TGGTGACTTGTAATAAAAATCAGTTTTCTTCAATTTCCATTAACTCTCCTTCCCAATGAAACGCAAGCGTTCATCCTCAACGTGTTCTTCATTAAAGTCATTCGTTTCAGCGAATAATCAAACAGACAAATGTTTCGTTAGTAATCGACAACTATCACTGTCGAACTTGGTGACTTGTAACAAAAATCAGTTTTCTTCAATTTCCATTAACTCTCCTTCTCAATGAAACGCAAGCGTTTATCCTCCACGTGTTCTTCATTAAAGTTATTCGTTTCAGCGAATAATCAAACAGACAAATGTTTCGTTAGTAATCGACAACTATCACTATCGAACTTGGTGACTTGTAACAAAGATCAGTTTTTCAACTCTCCTTTCAACGTCTATCCGCCGGATATTTAATTTCGATCTAATTTTCATCGAGCTCTGGTTTGAACGAGACGAAGAACGAGTTATTGTTGATCAACTCGTTCGGTGTTTGTCGCAGGCGTACGACAGTCCCGTTGGCGAGAGAGGATCGCAAATGTCCGGTGGACAGAAGCAGAGGATCGCGATCGCTCGGGCCTTGGTCAGACGACCGGCCATACTTTTGCTGGACGAAGCGACGTCCGCTTTGGATCTTCATAGCGAGGCCACTGTGCAGAGAGCTTTGGACGCGGCGTCAAAGGGTAGGACGACAATCGTTGTCACTCACCGATTGTCGACCATTACGAATGCCGATAGGATAGTGTTTATAAAGGACGGCCAGGTAGTTGAACAGGGCACGCACGAGGAACTACTCGCCCTCGGGAATCATTACTACGGATTGGTCTCTGCTGACGCCAGTGCCACTGCCAGAGGTAAACTTGCTTTTGATCTTCACTTTATCCTTCGATCTAATTTATCACATTTTCCTTTAATTGTCCTTTCGAATCGGGTTACACGAGTTTTCGATAACTTGGTAAAGATATATACTTCAGACAGAAGTTGATCTAGGCTTCGCATCAGCTACAGATTGCAATTACAGGTATCGAAATAATCTCGGAAAATATTCTCAAAATATTCTCACTGTGAATTTTTCTGTCGGAGTAACAGATAATTTGTTCAGTTTGATATCGATGTAAATGCCATTCAACGAACAGCACTCGGATATAAAAATGGACTTTTAATTAAATGTTTTAAAACAACTTGCTTCTATAGAACTTTTATTCTGGATTGTAAAACATCCGTTCTGCGAGAACACTGCTCGAAAGTATAATACTTCTTTCCATAAGAATTCCACAAGAACGGATATTTTTTTACACGAAGTATATAAGTTCGAGTATCAGTTAGTTACAACGGTACGAAATTAAAAAGTATCGTACGTGCCTTTGAAACAAGTCGAGGGGGACGTTGATTTTGACTTTGACTTCGACAAAAAGGATTTTTTGATAGTTGCAGTTTGTAGCTGATGCGAAATTGACCGAGCTTTTGTCCGACACACTTTTTTTCTTTTTTACTACATTGTCGGAAAAACTTGAAAAAAGCTCGTGTACATCGATAGCGTGAACATTCTGTGTATTTTACATGGACCGTTTATTTTGAAAGTGATGTAAATCCATCTTTTGAGGAACAAAGAACTTACATATAGGTACTTTAACGTGAACAGTTTGTAAATCTTCAAATATTCAAAATCAGTTGAAATTTCGTTGCTGAATGGGACTGAATACAAATGATTGATAATTGCAAAGGCAAGTTCTTCAATATCTCAAGATGAAAGGAAATGGACTTTCAAGGTAAATAGTTCGTATACTGCATCGTCGTTATTTGTCAAACACGAATAAAATGAGAGCATTTGGTAGTTTAAAGTGAAAGTAATTCGGTATTTTTCTTCTTTTAACGTCGAACGGCGTGTCGATTGAATTTCCAGCGAAAGCGACGGCCTCGGCGGCAAAGACAGTGACCGCAGCCATACCGAAGCAGCAGAAGCCACCGTTGAAGAGGCAATTCTCCACTCTGTCGATGCACTCTCATCGGTTGTCGTTGGCTGGCGCGTCGGAGAGCTCGGTGAACCAACTGGAAGAACACGAGAAGCCGTACGACGCACCAATGATGAGGATATTCGCTCTCAATAAACCGGAATGGCCTTACAATTTGATCGGTATAATTGACACGTTCACGCATTCGTTTAACCATTCTTTCCTCGACCTTTCTTTCACATCTAACCCAGATTCGGCGGCGAACTTCTTCCTCGCTGCGGACTGCACTCAATCTCCTGTTTTTCCACCATGAAAATTAGCTCCTCCTCTGTTCCGCAGCGAGCTATACAAACTACATCTCCCTATCTTCCTTTAACTTTAACAGTTACAGTAAAGAAAACAATTTATACGTATATACCTAACGCGATTACTGCGGCTGCAACAGTCTCTCGACGCAGTGGGGAAA